TTCGAACTCAAAAGCGATTGGACAGTTGAAAAGGTTCCCTCGTGAGATAATTGACATGGTTCAATTTATTTAATTGAAATACAAAAGAGAAAGAAAGTAAAAGTGAATCTTATGTATTCTCAAGAAAAAGTAGTCTAGTTCATTTCAATCAAGTAATTATGACGCATGAACATGATCAGAATTTTTACTCAAAATTGTTGCACCTATTTAGTATTAAATCTAAATGTGCTTTTATGTATCAACAAAATATTATCATCAAACCAGAAGTTTATTAGACTATGATTTTGACTTGAATGAAATTATTTCATACAGAATCCGCAATATCTTTTCAGTTTGTTATGTATCTTCTTCATCTAGAGAGTCAGTCGAGATCTTTTTGCTTTCATAGATTGGTCATGCAGCGAATAGATATTTATTTAATTTCCTGACGATATTTATTAAGACACAATAACATTCGTGAGTAAGAACAATCAAGTTATTTTTGATTTTCAGGTACAATAATATTATTAGAACGAATCGTAGTAATAAATTGTCATAATATCTGTCGAAAATGACGATTTGTAATTGTATAAATATAAAATGAACATACTTTTTCAAAATAATATATCAATAAAGTAACATTGGAAAAAAAATTTTCCATTGAACGACGTAAACTATTTTTAGCTGTCGTCAATGTAAGAGTTGTATACAATCGAAATACAAAAACAGGCAATGAACATATGAGAAGTAAGGTTACTTGAATGAATACTATGCGTAAAATTATTTGATCTGTTTTTTGATTATTTCGTGTTTGTGTTGTCTTAACGGTGGAGATGGTTGGTTTTTGTCTTTGATATTTCAGTTGACGAACATTTAAATAAATGTTGATGCCAAAGTAAAATATTATTAAAGGTGGTGCAAGAAATTGAATAAAAAAAAGAAGAGTTGTATCGATAATACTACATGGTGTATTCTTAGGTGAACAAGGTGCGGCAGCTATCATAAGATTTCCTTCGAAACAATAGAATGTTTGTGCATAAGCAAATGATATACAAAATGTAATGATCAATACTGTTCGACGTGTATTATGTAAAGAACTCATTCTTCGTGTCAAAACATTTCTTGATGATGACAAATAACGATCCCAACAAGAACCAATCGTAAACCAGATGACAAGACTAACTGAAACATTAGATATATAAACTTGAAGTTTGCACAAGATGGAAATATAATAGAATGGAGTGATTTGGAAACCAATACCAATACGTGATAAAATAGACACGTACACGAGTGGTATGGTTGCTAAAGTTGATGGAAGCAGATAAGGTATACATGGCGAAAAATGCCAATGAGCTCGACGGGTGAATACACACAGATTGAGAAGTGTACCAATACTACCAAACACAAGATAAATGATACCCCAAGAAGAAAGAATATGATTTTTATTGTATCGATTTGTATTGATTCAAAGTTGTTCGTCGATGAATTATTCATTCTTATAATTTTAATCTGAAACAGATAATAATTCTTCGAAAACAGAATAGATATCAATAGAAGGAAGTTCTCAACAAACAAGCATATGATTATTAAGATGTTTTAACTGATTATTTTTGTGTTACATATTTTCTACGAAGAAAAAAAAAAAAATAAATGTTTATCTATATCTTAGAAGTTATGATATTTTGTCAAACATACAATCTATGTTGAGTTTATATACAAAAGTTTCGAACTGTACGATAAAGAATAAGTGAAAAGTATACTTATGCCAAACAAGAAAGCTGTTCATCACATGTAGAATTTAAGCATACTGTAACAGTCAGTGTTTGAAGTATTTTTCATGTTCTTTAATATTTTTATATATGTTTGTAATATGAGACTTACGATGATAATTATATGAAATTTTTGAAGAAACTAAAAATAAATTTATTGCTTACTAATGATTTATTAATTAAAGAAAAAAATTGATAATATTCAGATAAAATGATGAATGCTTTTATTTAGATACCGACACTACTTTCAGCATGCCAAGATATTGTATATTTATTTGTAATAGATAAATCTTGGGAAAGTCATAGTGGTCTGATGAATATCAATCCTATCTATTGTCGTATTTGAATGTTTTTTTTCACTTTATTTTGAAAACAGTTCATTCTCAAGATTTGTATTATTTTTATAGAAAAAAAAGTATACACATACTGTTGTTACTTATGTTTACTTGTGTACTATCTACATCATACATTGGGATTAGAAAGTTAAAATCAAATTACTTGATCCGTCAATGTTTACTTGATGAGGCGATTAGAGTATATTTTGGAACAACCATCCAACATATGTCACATATAAAGAAGTTAGACATCCTTTGAAAGAAAATCTAAAATGTTCTCGTAATCCTTTACATTATACACAAGGAATAACTTTTTGAAAAACACGTTCTACTATCTCTTGTGAAACGATATTGCAATATTATTATTTTGTATCTTCGATCACGTCTCACATTAATAATTAAAAGGTATTTTAGATAAATAACTGTTTGTCTTTGAAGTCTAAATAAAATGCTATGGTTTCTGTTGACTGCCATCGTTGAATTGGTATGCCGCAAGTCTTATACACTGGTCTCTTCTGCGATGATGCTATTCGTTATATCTCGAGTAGATACGTTAAAGGCTAAAATGGCTTTTAAACGATGAAATGACAAACGTACAAAGTGTCTCCTAAAAGTCCATATCCAAAAATGTTTTTTTTTCGAATAACTTCATTATTTTAACAACTGACTTTTCTCGTATGATAGGTAAAGAAACGCTGCGAAATATTATTATGAAATCAAAAAAAAAGGCTGAATTCTTGTACCTCAGCTAAAAGAATCAGTTAATAAAGGTCAATCAATAGTGTAGTTACATGAAAAAACATTTTTGGGTAAGAACTTTAAATATCTTGTTGTGTTGAAAACTATCAATATTAATTTCTTATTTCTGAGATATTACATTGCTGAATCCTTAAATTCTATTTACCAATACACGAATGGATAACAGTAACTCATGATACATATTCAAAATAACTAATAAACAAGTAACGCGACGCAAACGCCGCTAACCCTCTACTGAAAGGATGTGATTTCCTTGAAGATATGGTACTCACGAAGAAGACCACAGAACTAATGTGCTGCTATGCATCTATAAAAAGATAAATAGTTCTCGTCACCATGGCTCGCTTGCTAATTGATTGGATTTGATTTAACCATCGTGGGGTATGGGTGGGTGGGTGGGTGTGGGATATGTCTGAGTATGGATGAAGTGAAGACATACGCCCACACCCACAACCCACACCCCGCACCCACACTCTACATCCACATTCTACATCCACACCCCACACCCCACACCCCGCACCCACACTCAGGGGTGGCGCGACCGGGGGGTAGTCGGGGGTGCGACACCCCCCCAATCTTCAAAAATTTCTGTTTTTTTGCTCAACAAAATCAGGAAATTTTCTTCCATTTGTCACCAAAAACAATGTTACACCCCCCGAAAAATTGCAGACTTCGTCTTTCTAGTCCAAAAAATTTCGCTACACCCCCCAATGTTGATTGACTCGCGCCACCCCTGCCCACACTCTACATCCACACCCCACACTCCACACCCACACTTCACATTCACACCCCACGATGGTTAAATCAAATCCAATCAATTAGCAAGCGGGCCACGGTGACGAGAACTATTTATCGTTTTATAGATGCATAGCAGCACACTAGTTCTGTGGTCTTCTTCTTCGTCAGTGCCATATGTTCAAGGAAATCACATCCTTTCAGTAGAGGGTTAGCGACGTTTGCGTCGCGTTACTTGTTTTTTTGAAAAAACTCATCAAATTTAAAGAGTTTAAACCAGTTGTGATAAAGAACATTCTCGAATTCTATCATTTTGAAAATAATCTGGGTAGAGGAACCTTAATATAGTTGAAGAATCAAAAAACAGATGTTTTGAAAAATATTAGCCGCCTTTCAACACTAGATTTCTCTAGAGCGAGTACCCTTAAATAATTCGCTAGACATTTAAATGTTGTACCATCATCAGAAGTAGACCTCGAATTTCAGTTACTTATCCTTGACTAAGTCTAATCAAGCTTAATACAGATATATGATCATATTCAGTTGTTTGGGATGTCATATTTTCTTATCCTGAATTCTGACTTTTCTGAATAAAACGGAGAGAGAAACATTTATGGCTTTTTAAGTGGGATATGTATTGCAATATGACTGTTTCTTTAAGAAAACGAAATTAGATGTCGTTTACTTGTTTCCGTTTGTTCGGCGAGTTCAGTAGCATGACCAAGTGGCGACCACCCCAAATCAGAATAACTTGAAAAAAACATATTTTTTTCAAAATTATAGTATTCTGCACAGCTTCTTGAAACCTTTAGGACGGCACAACTACATCTATATTTGCTTACAACACAACAAGCAAATAACGCCCTACTAGCATTCACAAATCCTTTACTGGATAGACTATATTACGTCAAATGTCTAATAAGGAATTATTTTGGTTCAAGAATCAGATCATTTGACAATTTCTGAAGGTGCCTCAGCTTTCACTTATTATAGTTACGATAAGCCTTCTAAATCAACGTCTAGTCGTTCGTCGGCCTCCCTCCGGTCGGCCACTCAGGACTAGCCGTTTCCATATATGGTTTATTTTTCTGCCTACCATTTGTCACATTAGTACTTGGATGCGCAGAAAAAATAGTTCACTCATGACGTATCGATATGTAATCAAAAATTTCCAACATTTAAATAATGTTGTGTACTTTTCGTCATAGTTTTCAATTTCTTTTTTTTTTTAACAAAATGATGTGTTGCCGAATTTGTTTTCAAACCAGCATTAGTTAAGTTCTTCTGAGGATCTCCCTAAACTGCTTCAGATTCATTTCAAAATTATGCTCTAAAATAACCTTCTTAGTCAACGTCTAGTCGTTCGTCGGCCTCCCTCCGGTCGGCCACTCACGACTAGCCGTGCCCACATTTAACGCTATTAAATTGTTCAATATTACTTCAGGTTTGAAGCGAATAGATGTATCTCGTTTGAATTCCTTTCGAAAATTTACTGAGCATATGTTAATACCCTCATCAAGAAGAAACTAAAAAAAAGAGAACTATTTATAAATTGCTACAAATAGAGTACATTACATTGTGTTAGAGAAGATTTTCGTCTGTTTTAAATGTTATTTTACATTTGATGCCTACGAAGAGTCAATAACTGGACTTCAAGTGACCACTTCATTTTCTACATATCTATGTATAAATCTTACCGAAAGACCTGGCGTTTTGTAATCGACAAGGGAAAAAACTTGTATTAAAAGCAATCTCGAGCATGGATTCGTGACCCTCGACTATCCTTAAGTCAAGCTTAAAATAACAAGAAATTCATTGAAAGAAGCTTTAAAAAGGTCAAAAAGGCTTCGATTAACTTCGAATTCGCATTTTTCATGCTCGATAATGATCAGCCAAGTTTTATAGAAAACAATGATACATTAATTTATCATTAATTAATAACTGCCAATATTGGAAAGCTGACCTCAGATTTGCATTCCTCATAGCCGATTCTCTTTAGTAGTTTTACTGGAGACAGTTAATATTACTGATTATTACTTATTTGATAAAAACAACTGAGTTTTGACTTATCGATCTTCGATTATCTTGGATTACACTTATTAAGAAAAGTATAAAACTAATTCCTAATTGTTTTTTAACTTGTTATTAAAATCATATTTGATTCAGATTCGATATATTTTCCTTCGATTACTTTTCGTAGAGCTTTTTATAGACTATCAGACGCTTTTGATATCAATCTAGCCAACACCGTCTTCCCATTGGCTAGGGTGCACAAACATACAGACAGACTTTAGAATCAGCCACACATGTAGAACTGCAAACTTATTTTATGTTATATCATCTCTCCCCTTCAATCTAAGAAAAAAACCATTATTTTCTTTAAAAAACCTTCCGCAGCCAAAAACTCATTTCAAAAACTTTTACCAAAACTCGTGACGGATTCAGATTTCTCAATCTCTGAAGTCTTTGGCCAAACCGTATAGAAAACAGTTTTTTTCGTAAACAACTTTTTCCTTGTCTAAAAAGGTCAGTCTCAAAAACTAATCACGGATTCAGATTCGTCGACCTCGAAGACGTTTGTTCAAACTTTATGAAAAAAACGTCGTTTTTTACCAAAAAAAATGATTTCAAACAATTTTCAAAACTAATACTACCAATCGATTCCTCGACCTCGAAAACGTTTGATCAAACTTTATAAAAAAAACATTTTTTTTGCTAAAAAACCTCTCTTTTTCGTAAAAAACATCTATTTGAAAAAATTTTCAAAAACTAATGTCAACGTTCAATTCCTTGACCCAAAAAACTCATGGCAAAGGTTTTTAAGATTTGTGAAGCACTAGTCTAGTTGATATGCGCATCTCTATTTTCTGATTGGTTAGGACAGACAGGCGGACAGACAAACTTTAAGGATATTTACCGTCGTATAACCCTTTCTTTCAGAAAAGGGAACAAGCCTAAACCATAATACCTGATAACAAATAAAAAAGAAATCTGATTGGCTGATTTGCCCCCCCCCCTCCTCCCTCTGAAATCCCATTGGTTGAAACCGCAATGTCAAAAAACCCTATTAGTCGAAATCTCAACCAAAAATAACCTTACTGGGTCAAATTACAGGGCAAAGAAATCTG